GTATCCACATAGCAAGTGAAACACGGCACGCAAATTAATTTAATTCATCTTACCTCCAAAGTATTACTTTTTTCATGTATTTATCTTTTATTTCTTCAATTACAGAAATTTAGACATGACAACTATATCATAAACTAAACAAACACGTTGTTAGTAATTAAAAAAATCAAAAAGAGAACAACAAAAAAACACTTAACTGCAAAAAGCAGAAAATACTACACACATGATACAGTATTTTGCGTAAAGGATAGCCAGTCAAAGGGGAATTGTCCATTAATCAAAATGTGATTACATTGCTTGTTGCAAAGTGCACAGGAGGAGACAATGTGTACGTAATTCAGTTATCTGAGTATAAAAAAAAATTTGAGGAAGATCTATTTTCTAAGCAAACCTGAAAAAAGAATCTTAATAAGACTTGGTACCAATTATATATCATTCGATTATTTGAAAGCATTTTGTCTTCCTACGCGGTACATACAGGTATTTGCGTTTAGTGTTAAGATTAAAAATAACAATAAAATGATTTGACCTGTAATATAATTAAAGTTAATTTGCTCTAAATGAATAACAGTTTGCAGATAACAATTTGCTTTCGAACAGGGTGCTGTGTCCTAGTTTAGCAAGTTCATGTATATATCTTACCATAGCTAACGAAGATAGCTCTCATTGTGTTTATCGGCGCAAACTGCATGAACTATACTCTAGAAAACAAAGCTACATGTAACATATACATGAAGCTGTATTCTTTCAAAATATTTTGGACTGATATCCCTTTTTCTTTCTTTTTCTTACAAAATGCTTTGTAAGATAACAAGTGTCTTTCTTTATCCTGCAGAGCGAAAAATTTATTATATCGTATATTATTATTACTTCAATTAATTGTACATCGGTGAAACGGCGACCACATGGAGAGGCAGAATCCGGTTACATTGACAACATGGTCAAGTCCCCTAGACGTTTAGATGCAGACAAGGACAATTTTAATTGTTTCCTTTCTGTAAACTTTTAAGAGACAATATAATTGAAAGAAGAGAAAAGGAAAAAGATTTCATTCAAAAATTTTAATTTTAATCTAGTCTTAACAATTTTATTTTATTTGATTTCTGAATTAGATTTTCATACAGGTTATAACCTTCCCATGTTCTCCAGTTAATAGTATCAAGACATTACGGTTAACCGGTTACAAAACGGTCGTTTTGGTATATTATTTTATTTTATCAATGCCTTTTCTCAACTCGCTAACTCGCTGGAAATGAATAACTTCGAAGAGTTTGGTTACAATTCAGGTAACTTTTCCTTTTTACATTTTCATTATCATATACATCAACTTTTTTCTGTTTGGTTTTTTTTTATTTGAAATAGATGTATCATAGAAGTCATAAAAATTCCAATTTGATTAACAACCTCTCTTTTCAATTCTGTTTAGTATACAGCGTGCTGAAATTACTTTAATTTGATTTATACATCTCATGATATATGAAAGAGGTTGATTTTGCCGTTTTGTTGATATTTCAAGACTTTGTAAGTCATAGAAAATGGATTTTAATTTCAGTTGTATTTGTGCCTTATACATTTTAGCTTTCAGAAAGGTTTTAAATAAATATTTCTAAAATATATAATAAAAAGTGTAAAGTCTTATTAAATATCTAAAAACGCTTTTTGAGCAAAACATATTTAAGCCAGTGTATAAACATGGTTCATTTTTTAATAAAAAAAAAAATTGAACGTAAATTCAGTAATGTTATGTGTGATCGAGTCGACGTGCAAAACGCTTTCAATTTAAAAAAATCAATCAATTTTTACTTTTCTTAATTTCAATACATAGTCATTGATTAGTCAATGAAGATTGCATTGAAGTCTAAGGAAACAATAATTTTTTTATGTAAACATAAATTAAAGTTATATTATTATTAATAAATACTGTAATGATACACTAGTATATAAAATAATAGAAAGAGAAAAATTGAAAATTATTTTCACCTAATAATTATTTATTAATAGTAAGTTTAGATTATTCAAAAACAGGAAAAGGTAATAAAATCTACAGTGTGCTTTCATACTTATTCTAAAACAAGATAATGTCCAGATATATTGCAAATTCAACCAATACATGTCTGTTGTGCATCTAATTTCGATTACGCACAAGATACTATAAACACACTTTTTTGGACCAATTAATCCACGCCCTTCCTCAGTTGCTAAAAAAGAAATTTTAAAGACAAACGAAATTGACCATTACTAAATTTGTGGATGTAAATATAAGCATTTAATTCTGGACCAATTAATCCACGCCCTTCCTCAGTTGCTAGAAAAAGAAATTTTAAAGCAGTCCAGTGTTTAAATAATGGATACGTAGAGCATGCTGTTGCGTATCGATATTTTTTTTTCATCAACTTGCTTGTCAATAATATACCTCGTTTCAGAAATTGTCCATACGTAGAGCATGCTGTTGCGTATCGAATCAACTCGAGATATATATACTCCGTATGCAGCTGCATAAGTATGGGAAGTTGACGATAGAAAAGTTAAAGACATCACGTTTATCATATAGCTGGTTGTTAGATTACCATTAGACAAACGAAATTGACCATTACTAAATTTGTGGATGTAAATATAAGCATTTAAGTATCAAGTATTTACAGGGACCTGCAATGAATCTTTGTTTGTAAGGTTCTTATGAAGTTTCGGAATCCAATATATATAGGGTAGTTCTAATTCATTTTGGCTCTTTAAAATATGAAAAATACAATGTATTCAAAATTGATTTAGAAGAATGTTTTCCTTAGAAAAAGAAGTATGAGTATAAGTAGGATTGCTACTTATAAAATTAAATCCAAGTCCTTCTAAAATACAATTTATATAATGAGCCTTACAATCGAAGACAATGTTGTTTCCTGCTTTGCATTAAAGCCCTATCTCTTCTCAATCACAAGTTAAAAGGAAAAATTTATAAATATTAATGAGGTCAAACTTCAAGGACAAGGTCACAAAATTAGAAATCATTGTGTATTTAGAAAGGTCTTGTCACAAGTAAAACACAAATTTAATATGAACATCCTATTTCTATTCATTCAAAAGTCATTAACAAGTTTTTTAAAAGTATGTCAAACTTAAGGGTCACGAGGTCAAAAAACATAGTGTGTTTAGAAAGGTCTTGTCACAGGTAAGATACATGTCCCATATGAAAGCTCTATCTCTTCTCATTCAAAAGTCTTGGTAATTTCAATGTAATATTTATTTTTTTAAGTAGGTTAAACTTCAATATTGTTTTATATCGAGTCTACATTGTGTCAACATTGCCCTTCTTCTTGTTAATGTTAACTTTGTTCACATCGTCGACATCACAATGTTGGTCGATATCGAGTCGACATCGTGTCAACGTTGCCTTATTTTTATCATGCTTATATCGTTCACATTGTCGGCATCGCAATGTTGGTCGATATCAAGTCTACATCGTGTCAACATTGCCCTTTTTTTCTTGTTAACATCGTTCACATCGTCTACATCGTAATGTTGGTCGATATCAATTCGACATTGTGTCAACATTGCCTTATTTTTCTGTCTGAAAATCTCATCAAATTTCATTTATCTCATGTCCCAGCACCTATTGCGACACAGGACCTCGGTTTATACGGTCTCATCTGAACGACTTGTGTTCACGTTCCAAAGTGGGATTAAATTGGAACAAAATGTAATCTGCGTTGAATGACAAGATTTAAAACAAATTTGTGTGTGCAGTCAGGTCAACAATGAAAGTGCTAACTATAGATTATTAATATATTTAAACTTTGGAAACTTTAAGAAAAGTATAATAAAGAGAAATCAGAAACACACAAACAGAATCTAGCCATGCACTATATGAACTGCACAACCCCCTAGCAGCCTTCTCTTTACTTGTAGTAATTGTTACTTGTAGTGAATTGTACTCAGGACTTGTAGTTAGAAGTGCATGTGATGACAGCTTTTCTCATAATTTCTAACTTCAAATGTATACCGTCTATTATGCGATTGTAATTCAATACAGACATAATGTAACCCGTATATACGAAAAGATACTTGGTGATACTAATGTTCACACATAGAACTTAATATCTTGCTTTGACCTGCATACAGTGTTTATGTCTAAAAAGTCAAGTATTCGATTCTCAAGAGCATACCCCGAGTATGATCAATTCTTAAACCCTAGGTAGGATTATGATAGATAAGTGGATGTAACAGGGGTTTCAATAACCTCGTTTAAATTGAGCTTAACGTAGATTCTATGATAGTTATTATGATTTATTTAGCAAACATACCCTATCACAGAGTCGTATTTTGGCCGACTTGTTTAAAAAAAATAACACTTTTGGCCTTCAGTTTATACTGCATACGTACAGAATAATACTTCTATTTGATCAAGCACACGGCTGCTGTGTTGGTCAACAGGGGATGCTTAATCCTCCATGAACCTGATCCAAACTGAAATTTCTAGAAGTACGTGATGGTACCCTCTTCACATGAATTAATTGATTATAGATTTTTGATATCGATCACTGTTTAATACCTTTTATTATCCTAAAAAGATACTTATGTCTTGCATTTAATGCATTTATCATCCATTATCTCTGAACAAGAAATTTGAAATGATTGCAAAGTTATCACAATATAGAATGAACTTTTAAGTGCAATTTCCTGTGCCGGTTTCGCAGTATACATTTTTAAACGTATTGAATTTCATTTTAATTCTTTCTTTTTCGTGTATTACTATCAGTTTAACAACAGATGTTCATCAAACTTAAACCATTTGATACACAATATATATTTATTTTATATTATATATACATGTGCATTGTCAACAAATATTCTTTCGTTGAGAAAGGAACCAGTCATAGCAAAGGTATATGCTTTAAGATACATTTTCGTTTCAAATTATTAATCATTTTATTTTTCTAGTTAAAGCATTTTCCAAGTTACATCTACGAACGTAAAATAACATGTTGATTTGGATATTATTTTTATTTCGTTTTCTTACATTTTTATAAGATAATGGCGCTACATGTATACCTTGTCCTGGTTTTTATTCTCCACACGACGCATGGAGATGAGACACAGACCGGAAGCTGTAAAGACGTTTTACAGGGTTACTTGACGGGGCAACTTTCTTATCAGGTAGAATCTTTAAGGCGGGAATTTAAAAGCTTCACCGACATCATTGAGGAATCGATGAAAAAGTTCAAAGAGGCAGTGAATGCTAGCATACAGAAAGGAGGTATGATTTAACTGTAAATGGATATTGTCTATTGCATATCATTTAACGTATTCAAGAGAGCAATCTGTGGTTTTTATTGTATGAAAACAACAATATAGAAACTTAAATTCTTTACCATGTGCTACTTCAGTGTACATTAGTTTACTAAGGTGACCTACAGTGTATTGCTATCTGTTTTTGTTCGTCGTCCGTAGTGCGTCTTCTGACGTGTAATATAATTTAAACATTCTCATCTTTTTCTCTGAAACTACTGGACCAATTTCAACCAATTTTGGCATAAAGCATCTATGGGTGAAGAGATACAAAACTTGTTTCATGGTCCCTGTCCTTTGAGACCTGCTGGGTAGGGCTAAAGTCACTAAAAGTAATGCAGTTTTATAAATCCTTTCATTTACTCCTGAATTTAAAGCAGTCAAATTTATGGCATTATTGTAATCAGCTTTAGGCTATTTACCAAAATTCTGGAAATGCATTAATTCTCCGAAAATCTCTTTGGGATTGAACAATTTTGGAATCTCGGGCACCCGACAGCTGACTGTGGATAGCGGACTTTTCACGCAAGGGAATGTGTCAAAAGTGATTAATATTGATAAATTTTGTAGGCTGATGAATTTTACTCGATAATCACATACGTTCATATTTGTATGATTTCCATTACAATGAAACTAAGGTGGAATCATTCTCAGATAGTGTAGATTCAATTTTTTTTTTCAAATCAAGACCTCCGGGGGTAGGGTGGGGCTAAAAAAGTCGATCAAAGATTTTTATAGGAATATATATAGAACTCTTTTAAAATCTCCTTTTAAAGTACAGTACTTCAAAGCCATGATTAGTCATATTTATATGGAATCATCCTCGGTAGTGTAGATTCTAGTTTTTTTCAAATCATGACCCCCTTGGGGGTTAAAATTTAACCCCTTCCTAAGTAAACTTTCATTTCTGATCATATGATATGTGCTTATCCTAGGCGGTGTGCGCTCAGGTGAGCGCTGTGGCCCCTGGGCCTCTTGTCTTAAATACCATTTTTATGAGCTCTTCGTAAAGAACTTGTCATGAATTTATCAAACGTCAAAAAAACACTACTGAAACCGACCTAAATCTACATATCGGCTGATTTTTTTTTTTTCAAATTCACTTGCTAGTATCTCAGTTATTACGTTATATCCATTTAAATTGTGATTTAATAAACCTTATTTAATTATATGAAAATAATTGCATTAACAGTAAGTAAACTTTATTTTACTATAATGCGCAAAGATTGGCTCAATTGTAACCCAAGTAAATCTCCCTAAATTTGTTTTGCCCCCATTAACGAAAATTCGGGAGTATAAGATTTTTACCATGGTCGTCTGTCTGTTTGCTCGCAAAAACTTTAACATTATCTAAAACTGTTGAGTGGTATGTTTAAAATTTAGCTTTCAATTTCACAGATGTTTTTTTTAACGCAACTTCTTTTTTCTACCACCTTATTTGACTTTTTGACTTTGTAGTTCGACCACATAACCTTGGTCAAAAGTTTTGAACTGTTAGTGCTAGGGCTTTCATACTTCCCATGTGTTTTTATTATGATAAGATTATTCAAAATGTATAACTTTTTTTTACTTTTTAAAGTAACTTTCTCCTTATCGATGACTTTTGAACAATTGGTGTTCGGTATTTCAAACTACACATATATATTCATTGTGACGAGAATTTCCATGGGTATAAACATTGTTCCTCTTTTGATCTTGGAGTTTGACACAATTTAAGAAAAAATAAAGAGAAAAAATACTTTGGCTATGACTTTTGAACTGTCTACAATAGTACTAGGACTGCATTTTCATATTTCATATCTGTATCCCTTTGAATAACATCGTTATTGACTTTTTGACCTTGACCTTTGGCCCATCTGAGAAACGTGTTTCACTTTACATCTTTTTGTAGGTATTGTAAATAGAGACATTATCTATACAAGATGGGGAAAGAAAGTGTGTCCTTCAAACGCAAGATTACTTTATTCAGGTAAAAAGATTTCATTTCATTAAAAACACCTGCTTTGTAAATTTGGTTATTGTTTTTTTTTTAATCTTCCGATTAATCTTAAGATAATAATGAGAGAAAATAAAAGAAATCATAGTAACTTTGAGAAAATTTAATAGGATTCGTCGGAGGATCACATTATACTCATTCAGGAGCAGCTGTAGAACCTCTTTGTTTACCTAGAAATCCAGAATGGGGGTTGTACAAGGACGGAAATGATGGACATAAGGCTTACCTATATGGAGCAGAGTATGAAACAGAAACCTTTACAAGTCATTTTACTTCTCTGCATGATCATGATGTACCGTGCGCTGTGTGCCTTGTTCAAAACAGATCAATCGTTCAAATGTTTCCGGGTGAGATAATAGCATAAATACTAGGTATAAGTAATCTGAATTATTATTTTAACTGTGTTTTAATTCTACTCGTGAGAGACCAGAAGAGCTTATCCATAGTGAATGTCCGCTGTCCGTCCGTCGAGCTGTCTACCTGTCTGTCTGAACACAATTTTTCAAAATGGTACACCTCCTACGATTTTGTATTTATTTAAATGACACTTGTTACACACATCGACTACACCATGTAGGATACATAATATAATTTTTCGGTTTTTGATTTCGATGAAGAGCGTTGCCATGGTAACTAAAAATAGAATTTTCGTCAAAAAACCCTACTACAGATTTGATCTGATTTCTTTATGATTTGAAATACAAGTAGACTTCAACAGACGACAAATTTCTACATATATTTTCTTTGTTTCGACGAAAGGTATTGCCGTCGTTACTAAATATAAACTGTTCTTTTAAATACTCTCAAAAACGCTTTCCCTCCTACATTTTTGTCTGAGTTCAATATGATTAGCATGACTTTCAAGTATACCAGTCTAGAACATTTGACTCATTATCAAATTTATTGTTTTGCAAATTATTAAAGTCAACTCTTCTCTCATAAATACAATCCAGCTGAGCTAAACTCTCAATAGAAACTTTTCGTTTAATTTACAAGTCAGACATGTTAATTTCAACAATATTCAAAACCAGTTAAAACGTAAATATAGATGAGTAAGAACTCGAAATTCATAATAAATAAACAAGAATGAAGGAATTTTTCTGTTCAATGACATATTTGTTTGAAAATTAAGTATTTAGTTTTCATATTGGAAGCAAACATGGAACATTACGTATGGTCGACAGTTAACATTGTCGAGAAACACATGTACAATCTATCATGAAGTCTAATACTTACTAATTTTTTTCATACTACTTGTACAACATGTAATTGGTAAGACAAAGCCATTAATTTTATTTATTATTACACACTAATTTTTTCTATGGATTTTCCCGCTATTTTCTATTTGGTGTTATAGAGGTCCGTTTTTGTCCCGTTTCTGATTTGTATTGACTTTTTGGTTTGAAATGTGCTGCTCTTTTTTAATTTGAGAAAAAAAATTGCAAACATTCAAGTTTGGTGCTTTTTATTAAGGTAGGATTCTTCTCTTGTTTCTGACTAGATGAAACATTCAAAGTATATGGGCTTATATGCCTTATATATTTAGATGTAAGGAATTAAAAAGACCATATCTTTCTTTCCTCATCACAATTGTACAACTTAAAATAGAAATGGTAATCTGCATTTGAAAATTAGCAAGGACTACTAGTATAGTTTTGGCGGAATGGTGGCGTATGAAAATATCTGCTTTTCTGCCTCTCAAAATTATAACTGAGCAATGATTTAAGTTATTTTTTTTTATACAATCAAAGACTTGAAGAAATTTTCAAATGTAAGTTAAATCAATAATAAGGGACTAAACTTTCAAAATATATAAAATTTATATGATTTTTAAAACAAACTAGAATTGTGTTAGATTTTAAACGCTTCCAGTCAAAGTACAGTTTTGAGCCAAAAATGCATAAAAAGTTTTTTTTTTCTCTCTTAGTAAACGGCAAACTTTTTTTTTCCATTTTGTATATTTATGAGACTACTTTATGTGAAAATAAGAAAAAAGTTGAATTAGGGAATAACTATCTTCTAATTTCGGTTGCAAACTGAGTTTTACCGGCGATGCGAAAGCGGAGCCGGTAAAACGGATGTTTGCGACCGTTAAATCAGCATTAACGGTCGCAAATACCAAAACAGAAGATAGTTATTCAAATTCTAATGCAGTCTTTGCATACTTTTTGTTGTGTACGTCCTATTTTGGGGAGTTTTGTGACATGAAATACGTCACGGGGAATTGTGTTTTGTACTGCTCTATTATGACGTCACAATGAAAAGCTTTCACTCTCGTTAATGCTCGTTTTATTACTTCAAACATCAGTGCACTAGCCATTCAAAAAGTGCTTTACAAAACAATTGCATTAGAATGTAGGAAACATTTGAAAATAACTAATATATCCTAAAATATTAAGAAAAACAGAGAAAATTCGGATTAGCCAAAATCCAGTTTATTTAATTATTTATGAAAATCTGGTAGTATCATGCTATTGACCCTACAAACTGTTTTTTTTTTTTTTTTTTTTTGCCAAAAAAAAGTCTTAAACTTTTGAAATAGAAGTAGGCATCACATGATTTGCAACAATATTTTTTATACTAAATGTCAACGAAAAAGATAATGACATTGACCTGACCTTGCCTCTCATATAAAACGTTCAAATTTAATTTCACTGATACTTTCACTTACTGATATTGTCTTCTTGATTCTGTGAAAATTTCATTGAATCCTACCTTAAATGTGCCCTCTGTATTTTGACATTTCTAAATTATTAAATTATACTGAAAGGAAAAAGAAACGCATAATAGCATAATAGCGAAATATATTTAACTATATGGCCGAAAATTATGAAAATTGGTCAAATGTGTATTTTAATTACTGTGCACTAAAATTACTGGTCAAAATTACTCAACCATGAAATGTATGGCGTCACGTAGGGGAAATGATAAAAAGCCAAAAACACGTGCTTGTTGATGATGACAATTTTATGATCACATTTTGTGGTGCTAATCGATGCATTGGAGTTATAGACATCGTTTTCCGCATTTGCAATCAATATAAATTTCGTGCAATCATGGTATGGCTGATGGAAGTTACACTGGTACCAGTAATTGAATTGCGTAAGTGAATAAAAAGGCAACAAGATGTTGCTGTGCAGTTTGTTTTAAACTTTTCAACAAAAAAAGGTTTTCCAGTTGTCAGAGAGTAAATTAAAAGGTTTCCAACCAACCATGGCGGTGACGTTGACGCGTAACAACGTCACATGAAGACAGGGCTTTTCATCATGTCACCTCGGTTGTTGTCAAGGTATTATCACTGAAACCGGTATTTATACAGCAAACTATCATACCAATATTTTCACCCTAAAATTGGCAGAAATTCTCTGCTCTAATTTGGTCCACAAGCTTGGCAACTTTTACGTCGATTTTACTCTCACGCGCGCACGTACGCGTCGTGTGCGTAATGTTTTTAGCATGTTCACACTGGGAAAATGTAGCCAGTGTTTGTCGAGACGTTCTCACAAACATTCACGTGTACCAAACCAGCTGGATTCTGTAAATTCTATCCTAAAATGAAAATTCGTGGCACTCATTTGGCGGGGGGATTTGTTGGCTTTGGAATAATACAGCTTCTATCAACCTTTAAGACTATTGTTGGAAGAGTTGAATAACAATCAAATGAGAAAGATAAATGCTCTGGTGAACTCAATGCACATGAAAATCAAGGCTGTTACCAATGTGCAAGGGAGATGATGAGAATTTTGATTTTAATTTTGGGGGGTATCGACATATCAATTTTAAAAACTCAGGAATTATCAGTCAAAGTCACACAACATTTTGGTTACTTGTAGATTAAAGATGAATTAAAATGTTTGATAACAATACTGGAAAACATTTTCGAAATAATAGTTTTAATTTAATTTAAAAGTAAAATATGCGTTTCTTTTTCCTTTCAGTATATTATTATTTTTTTAAAATTCCTGAATATATTTTGACATATTTCCACTTTTTCATGTTGACTTTTGCCTTGATAACACGTTTGTTAAGATAACTTTGTGTCCATTTTAGTTAGCTCCTCTGCTGAAACCATGCGGAGAAGACTACAGATTTTCTCTGCCTCTCTCCGACCGTCTATCTGTCTGTCCGTCCCTTAGTCTGTTTAGCTGTCTTTCTGTAAGTTTGTTCCACTTGGTAAAATTTTCTGCAATGTCTTTCCTCAGCACTTTTAGATATTCACATGATATTTGATGTAAAAAAAAGGTTTGTATTGTCTTTTGTATAGTCTATTGTATTTACTATGCTTTCAATCCAATAACAGCGTTAGCGTGCAAAATTTTAATATTTTGTTAAGCACATTTCGAATTGATTGAATTTGATGTTTGATTTCAAAGAAATGAATGCTATTTTGCATATGAAATAGAGAGTCAAGCAATACACTTCAATCGGACTAATCGCGTTGAAAGATTGTTTACGAGAACGGTATTTGTAATAGGCTGCAACACGAAGTCAGTCAAAATCATTGTTTGCTTTTTGTTCAAATGCAAAGATGTATTCTTTTAATTAAAATTAAACATCCAAGAGAAAAGAAATATTTTGATCAACATGTAAATCTTTAAAACGCTCCATTTAACAAGGTGACACGCTGTTATTGGAATGATAGTAGTTTGAGTATTCATTTAAGAATGGTTTAATCTTGTAAGTTCCTTTATTGTCTTTCACAGGTGGTGTATTCAATTTCAGAAGCTTCGTGTATGAATTTTTATGTAAATCTTAAAATTGTCAATAAATGTAATAGTTTGTTTCAGCAAGGAAAACCTGTCACAAAGGATGGAAACTCGAGTACCAGGGCTATTTAATGGCTGGATATTATCGTCATGCAGCGGGTAAAACATACACATGTGTAGACAAGAATCCAGACACCCTGCCTGGTGGTCATTCTAATCAAAATGGCTACATATTATACTTCGTGGAAAGTCGATGTGGTTCATTGAAATGTCCACCGTATGTTGAGGGGAGAGAAATAGTTTGTGCTGTCTGTTCCAAAAAATAAAGAATAAAAAATATATTGCAATACTTTTATGCGCTCTGTTTCTCTGTTATTTTTTTTTCTAAACCAACGCAAGGCATTTAGAACCAATTTTCTTTTTAAAATTATATCATTATTGTCACACGATGGCGTTGTTTTCTTCGAAGTTAGCTGTTTTGTATTCGCAGTATAGATCCAAAGTCCATAAAATAATACAAAATAGGAACAGAGCAAACACAGACCCCCAAAACATCAGAGGTGGGATCAGGTGTCGTGGAGGAGTGAGCATACCCTGCCGACCGGTCTCACCCGCCGTGTGCTCTTTGTCATGATCTGGAAATAACTGAAAAAAAACGTCGTCAATTCAGTCTATAAATAATGGACTTCAATTAGTATGAAAAACGTCAGTCAGCATTTGACTCAATGATAAATTGTATTTGCTGACAAAAAATTGAATCGACCATATATAGAACTTGCGAAATGACTTTATACGAGACTGCTGATATTCTTGTTTCATCAACTTTTTTGTTAATAATTACGTTTTAGTTATTGTTCATACGTAGAGCATGCTCTTGCGTATCTAATCAACTGTAATATGTAAACTCCGTATGCAGGTGATGAAGGTTTATTGCTCTATCAGTAAGGGAAGTTGACGGTTGAGAAGTTAAAGTCATCACGTTTATCATTGAGCTTGGATTTTAGATTACCATTAACGTCTTTTTCATGAAAAATATCTTAATATGAAACAGAATTTCTAAACAATTTACCTGCAACTATCTTAATAAATTAGATAAGATAGCCAAATCGTTGTATTAAACATTCTTTGAGAAAGCACACAAATGCTTAAATTGAGACCACAATCTCAGAGTAAATAATTAATTCAAAATAAGCATTTTATTTATCTTTCGCATCATTGATTGATATATTGACGAACGGATTTGAAAAGCGAGGAATGAGTGCGGAAATACATGGATATAAATACTGTGCAAACTAATGCAATAAGCTAGGGGGTCAGACTGTTAACATTCGTCATTTTCTATATTAGTTTATCAAGAACGGATATCTTTTTTTCAATATTTTTGTTTATTATCAATCTAACATTTTGGAACTAGTTTGAAATTGAGATGTGTACATCGCTGGTGTTAACACCAAAAATACTTAAAGTATACGGAAATATATATATAGCAAACGAGAATTAGTTGTAACAAGGTTTACCGAATTAAGGCATTTTAAAAGTCACATTTGTTTGACACATATAATGTTTGTCATGTTCGTCTTCCATCTTTCCGTCCTTCCGTCGCGCTCTACAATTAGCTCAGTTCAAAGCTCAGTTTCAAAGACATTATTTCAAGATAGTTTTATGTTGAAACTTCATTTTCTAATAGATATCGACTATGCAATTGCTTCAACATTTTTAATTTGCCTTTTTCTATAACCTTGACTTTACTTTTGTTAAACAAGTGTTAAGCTTGATACAAATACCGATACAAAGGATGAGGTGACATACGGCACTTGGTAAATTGACAAAACATTATATGTCCAAATTTAACTCCAATTTTTGTATATAACTAATCATTGATATGTGTACCTTTATGGAATATTATTTTTAACAAAAATAGAAACGTAATTTGAAAGATACAGATCATTTTTTGGGGTAGGGGCATCATGTTTACATCCAATTCCCTTTGAAAGTTGACCCCGTCCCACTCTTTGAAGCCGTTATAATATATGAGCGCAGGTAGGTACAATTTGCTCTTTTAGCTGGTCACTGTATTTTATTGAAATCTACCTATATGTGAAAGGAGAAAATTGTACCTAACTGCGCTCACTTGCTAATTAGTAAAAAAAACTCTTAAAGGGGCCGACTATAATTTCCATTGCATTTTCCTATATTATCCCATAGTAAATGTATCTGTATTTTGAGACCGTCCCTTGAAAATATCTGGACGGTAGATTTCCCCCAAACTTTGCATGTAGTCTGAAGTTAATGTAAGTTATATATGGTATGAAAATGAAGAGTTTCGCTATTGTAGTTTTCACACAATAAAACTTAAGTCGACCCCTGAAATCTACCTGGCCTTTCCCTTTATAAACGGGTCGACTAAATGTGTAGACAAGGATCCAGACACCCTTCTTGGCGGCCATTCTAATCAAGATGGCTACCTATTTTATTTTGTAGAAGCTCAATGTGGTTCATTGAAATGTCCAGCACATGTTCAAGGAAGAGAAACTGTTTGTGCTATCTGTTCCAGAAAAATAAGAAATAAAAAGTACATTGCTACATTTTTATGTGCTCTGTACTCAAACAACCGGAGGGCATTCAGAATCCACTTCCTTTTTACGGAAAACTAGTACATGTATATAAAAGTTTTGTGACACGATAGCGGTGTTTTCTGTTTTGTATTATCAATTATGAACAGGGCGACAGTTGGCGGAGTTACATGTACGTCCTACTCTGTATTTTAAATAATACGGTGTCTTGAACTAGCTTACAATTTTGTATCTTAAGTAATTGAATTTGTATCTTAAGGAATTAAGGAATGATTTTAATTCTTGGCCATATTATCGAGTATAAACTGATTTGGGTCAGCGATGGGATCATAAAAAAGCGTAAACTGACCCAAACCAGATTATACTTAACAATATGGCTAAGAATTAGAATCATTCCTTATAATTCAATTTTAAAATAATTAAACAACTTTGGATGTAAAATTGTGTTGCTTTTTATGAGTTCAAACTTACTTCGCAATAATACACCTTGCGCGTATAGTTAAGGAAGTGATTTGAAGCGGGGAGGGGGGGTGAATAACTGATGCATCGATCTAGCAGCCATGATGTTTGTTTACATGAGATGAGAACGTGTAACTGTTTGACGTTAAACGTTGATTGATTAAATCTGGAATTTTCCACGGAATCAACCAACGAGAGGCAAGAAAACAAACAAAATTAAATTATTTCAATTTGAATATTAAAATCACGTTTAAATAGAAAATGCTTCTTTTCTTCTTAAAAATTATAAAATGATGGGAAATATTTCCCTTGCAATGCAAAATGTCAAAATTTCTCGATAATTTTTTTCTTAATATTCCACACATTCTACACGTTATCTTGATCCAAACAAATTTTAAAAAATTGCAATCATGGTAAACACCCTAAGGTGGATAAATTCCCGTGAAAAACTTTCAGGGGGGGGGGGTGTAGGTACCTTGAGTGTGTACTTGCAATTTGAATAAATTGAGAGAAATACATCTTGTATGTGAGTATTTAAGGTACGCTGTCTCAAAAATAATGGAAGTTGACAATAAAAAGTTAAAATAATCACGTTTACAAATAAATTTGTCTAATTCTAATTAGATATGATTATTTATATATGAGACAAACTTTGTGGATTTTTTCTGCAATTGCTTTTTTTCTTAATTATAAATTGAGCCTGTGTTTTCCTTCCCCGCTTGGTTATATTTGGCGTCGCCAAGAACTAAAGCAATGGCAGATTTACAAATACAAAGAAAAATCTTTTTAAATAAATATGAATCTGCAACACAGGAAATTGTAAGGTCAAGATACAAAAAAAGAAAAGACGCTTAAAATCTCATAAACCTGTTAAATATTGCACTAGCACCAACTTTTCAAAAGATCAAGTGCATAGGACTGATTTAATTGTTTAAATGTTTCCTTGTTGCTTTTTAATTTACCGTTTAATTAAGTGGACATTTTAGTCAGACGCAATTTAGCGATTATTCCTTAAAATTGGTATTTTTTTTAGCGAGATGTAATTTTGGACTTAAAAAAGCACACTTAGGAAGATATTACAAAGAAGACTAAATTAAAATTAAATTTAAAAATTAAATCATCGCAAAAAATTCTGCTTATACGACAAATGCTCCCATTCTTGTTGATTTAAATGCTTCCTTACATTGCTGATTTGAATGCATCCTTGGCTTACTTACTTATACGAACAAACAATTTCTAAAACGGGATTAATTATTGACAAGCAAGATGATGAAACAAGAAAATCAGAAGTCTCGTTTAAAGTCATCATTTCTTAAGTTCCATGGTCGAAACAATGACCTTGTCAGCAAATACAATTTTTCATTGAGTCAAATGCTGACTGACTTTTTTTTCATATCAATTATTAGTCCGTTATTTATTCACTGAATTGACGACGGATTTTCCGTTATTTCACGATCATGACATTGAGAACACCGCGGGTGTGACCGATCAGCAGGAGATGCTCACTCCTCCATTGCACCTGATCCCACCTCTGATGTTTCGTAGGTCCATGTTTGCTCTGCTCCTATTTTGTATTGTTTTATGGACATCGATATTGAATAGTGCTCGTAATCTCGAGCTCCATATCCTTATTGAAAGCTTTCATGGCTTACTTATTTGAACGCTTTCATGACTTGCTGATTTGAAAGCTTCCTTGGCTTACTTATTTGAATGCCTCCTTGGCTTACTTATTTGAGTGCTTCCTTGCCTTACTTATTTGAATGCTTTCATGACTTGCTGATTTGAATGTTTCCTTATCTTACTTACATTATTTGAATGCTTCCTTGCCTTACTTATATGCATGCTTTTATGGCTTGCTGATTTGAATGCTTCCTTGCTTTACTTATTTGAATGCTTTCATGGCTCAATTATTTGATTGCTTCCTTGGCTTACTTATTTGAATGCTCTCATTGCGTGTTGATTTGAATGCTTCTTTTGCTTTGTAATGTTAGAAACCCTTATCCTAGGTCCGTTTTATAATTGGGTAGATAATTGAATTTTTTGAGAAAGCCTGAAATTACAAATCTTTGGCGTCGTAAAATAGAAAGAATAAACAGTGTAATGCTATATTTTTACCGGCTATTACAGGCAGTATTAACGCGTTTAAAAATGGGGGATAGGAAAATAATGACTGCTTATCTGAACAAATTTTGACAATGGGAAAAGGAGGTCTCTCCAAACTCAGTATTTTCGTTTCGTGGAAGGAGAGGGTGGATTAAAACTTTTCAACAAACATATTTTATATAATGATATAT